AGAGGGGAGAGAAAAGGGGAAGGGAGGAGGGAAGGAGGGAGGAATGAGGGCAGACTAGCGCCCTTGGCCTGGGGCTGTGACCCTCTCTGGGGAGTGACTCTGGGACCATCTCAGAAAGGCAGAGAACCTGAGGCACTATCGGCAGAGGAGCTTCTGGGATCGGGAGTCTCCTCTGTGGGCTCCAGTCCACCCTGCCTGGACAGCAGCTTCCCAAAGGCCCAAGGTGCCAGGGCTGGGCCCTAGCTTCTCTTCCCATCTCCAGAGGCCTCCTTCCTCCCCCTTGGCAGAAGGGGCCTCACAGGGAGAACCTGTGGGCATCCTGCTAACTCCCTGCACAGTCTCTGTGAGCATCGCCCTGAGCCAAGTTGGATCAGGCTGTCCTGAGGCCTGGGAGCCTCCTGGCCTGGTCACATACAGGCATCCTGCACTCGGTCTGCCCCAGGCCTCCCTCCCCCAAGCCTTTGTCCGTGCCATGCCCCCGGGCCAAGATGCCGTCCCCAATGCCACCATCCACCTGGACTCCCAGAGAGCGTGCCTCCTCTGTACCCACAGCAAAGCTCGGGAATAGAGCCTGACCGAGCCTGGCTTGTTCTAGCTTGTGTGATAGCTTCCTACGCACACAGTTCATCTTTCAAGCCTAATTGAAATCTCAGAGCCGGGTTGTCATCTCACAGCACCCTTACCCCGTTCGGGTGCCCTGGGGCCCGCCGCGTGCCTTCTGAGCCTTGGTTTTTTGGGGTTACGATGGGGAGCACAGAGGTGTGCAAAGCTTCAGAGTGCAGATTGTCACAGAGGTGCAGAGAGCATGGGACATGCTAGGATAGGCTGGTTGTCGTCTCCTTCCTGGGAAAAGGCTCTGGGCCTCAGACTCCAGAGCCCTGGCAAGGATGGACGGACAGACGGGTAGATAGCAGTGAGCCCGGCCTTCCCTCCAGGTGAGAACGCAGCCACCTCGGTCCTGCTGTTTCCAGGTAAAGAGTTCTGTGAATTCGATGGAGGAGGTTGGCCCCCCGCCCACCCACACATGGTGTCAGACAGCGTTCCGGGACAGCGCACTCCCCAGCCGACCCTGTCTGCTACTACGTCCTATCCTCCGAACCACAGAGGCAGTGGAGGATGAGGTATTTGAGGAGTTCGGGGAGTTGCAAGAGAGTTAGCATATTTCTGAGAACCCCAGGTGCAGCTTAACCTACAAATGAAAAATTATGGTGATGAGAAAGAGGATATTTGATGAGGCAGAGTCTTGGGGGAATCGGATTTTGGCTGACGAGCAAGGAAAAGGCAGGCTGGGCAGGGAGGCAGGAAGAGGCAGGTGGCCCTGCTGGCAGGGGGGCGGTGGAGGTGGGAAGCGAGTCCTGAGTGAATGTGGAGGGGGGAGAACCATGGGAAGTATCCCCCAAGGCCTCGGGAACCACAGGACCTGCACTGCCAGCCGCCAGCCCTGGGGACCACCGAAGAGAGCTTGGACCCTCCTGGCTGACCGTTTACATCTCACCCATCATGCAATAAGCATGCACCTTCTGGGCACCCCAGCAACTCCTGGTGCCACCAAGGCACATCCATTGAGTGTGTGTCTGTCCCCACACTCCCGGCAGACTGGGCTGCTCCTGCCCGCCTGGCCCCACCACCCACTCCCACTGTCGCCCAGCCTCATATAAGTAGACGCCAGCTGGCCCATCTCTCGGTGGCCACCACGGCTCTTCCCATCCTTCACGCCTCATTCTTCCTCCCAGTCATGAGTAAAGTGGATTTCCCCTCCCCTGAGGGGGACGTCTCAGCTTCGGAAGCATGATCTCAGGAAGCCCCCAGCCTCTGCTCAGACCTCGAGATGCCCAAGGAGGAAACCAGCTTCCCAAGAGCCTGAGGTGCCAGGGCTGGGCTCTAGCTTCTCTCCCTGTCTCCAGAGGCCCCCTTGGCAGTCCTCCCCAGACCCAGCCTCATTTCTTCAGACCCCAGGTCCCTATCTCCCCTTTCTTCTGCCATTCGGCAGATTTGCTATGTGGCCCTGGGAAGAGAGTCTCCAGCAACCTCTGTCTAGCACAATGCGGGGGGTTAAAGGTGACTCATGCCTGTAATCCCAACGACTTTGGGAGGCTGAGATGGGAGGATCACTTGAGCCCAGGAGTTTGAGACCAGCCTGGGCAACATCTCCAGACCCCATCCGCAGTCCAGCCTCCAGCAGGCAGAGCCCTGTGAGGAAAGCAAGGGACCTCAGCACCTCCGACCACCAAGCCGGATGCTGGAGAGAAGGGAACCCCCCAGCTCCCACCAACCCACAGCCTCGCGATCCAGGTGGGCTGCCGACGGGGGACACTGTGGCCTCCCAGACAGCTCTGGCTCAGGCTGGGCCCCTGGGAAGTACACACAGATTAGTCAGGGTACTCCAGAGAAATAGAACCAGAGGAAAAATGAGTGTGACTGTATGTGCGTGTGTGTACATAGAGGCAGAGAGGCAGACAGACAGAGAGATTCACACGGGAATCAGCTCACAGAATCATAGAGGCTGAGCAGTCCCACCATCTGCTCTCTGTAAGCTGGAGGCCCATGGAAGCCAGTGGTGTGATTCAGTCCAAGTTTGAAGGCCTGAGAACAGGGGCTCGACCGACACCCACAGGCAGGAGGAGATGGACGCCCCCGAATAGGAAAAGAGATAATTCTCCCCTCTCCTGCCTTTGTCCCAGGGGATCATCAGTGGTTTGCGTGACACCTGCTCACACTGGGGAGGATGGACTTGTCTACTTCGTGTACTGATTCAAATGGTGATCCCCGCTGGAAATGGGAGAATCAGATTTTGGCTGACGTGCAAGGAAAATGCAGGCTGGGCTGGGAGGCAGGAAGAGGCAGGTGGTCCTGCAGGGAGAGGGGGTGGTGGAGGTGGGAAGCTCATCCTGAGCAGATTCAGGTGGGGGTGAATAACAGGAGGTGCCCCCCAAGGCCTCGGGGACCACAGGATCTGCACTGCCAGCCCCCAGCCCTGGTGACCATCAAAGAGAGCTCAGACCCGCCCAGCTGGCCATCACGGCCTCACAGGCACACCCAGAAGTGATGTTGCACCAGCCCTCTCGGCGTCCCTTACCCAGTCAAGCTGACTCCTAAAATTAACATCACAGCCAGGTCAGAGGTATGCATGGACTTTCCCACTGAATTCCCTCAACGCCCTTTGAAGGAGGTCTTATTATTAGTCTCATCTTATAAGAGAATGTTTGAGAGATTTGGTGATAGCTCCTGGCCATACAGCTCAGGGGCAGTGAAGCCCAGACGCACACCCAAGGCTTCAGCCTTCACGCCCGGGCTCTCAAATTCTCCCCAGCCCAGTTTCCTTTAAACCCAACCCAAGCCTCTCCAGACCTGAGGCATGATACACGCCCACCCCTGACTGGAAGCCTCCACCCCCACCTCTCCTTCCACTTCTCCCAGCTGTGTCTCCTGGCCATGCTGCCTCTGACTCATCCTCCCTAGACCCAGCCTTATTTCTCCAGACCCCGGGCACCTATCTCCCCTTTCCTCTGCCACTCGGCAGATTTGCTGTGTGGCCCTGGGAAGAGAGTCTTCAGCAACTTTTGTCTACCACAGTGTGGGGGATTAAAGGTGACTCATGCCTGTAATCCCAACAACTTTGGGAGGCTGAGGTGGATGGATCATTTGAGCCCAGGAGTTTGAGACCAGCCTCCAGACCCCATTGCTACAAAAAATGAAAATTAGCTAGGCTTGGTGGCATGCACCTGTAGTCCCAACTACTCTGGAGGCCAAAGTGGGAGGGTTGCTTGAACCCAGGAGGTTGAGGCTGCAGTGAGCTATGATGGCGCCACTGTACTAGCCTGGGTGACAGAGCAAGATCTTGTCTACGAACAAACAAACTAACACACAGAAAAAGACTGCAAATTCTTTGCCCTCCTCCCATTGAGAGGAGGCCATTGCCCCTCCCATTGAATCTGTGGGCTCCAGTCACCATCAAGAGCACATGGGGCTCAGTCACTTGCTCACTGTGTTCACAGCAGCACTGTCCCCAACAGCCAAAAGAAGAAAGCAGCCCAAGTGTCATGGACTGATGAATGGATACACAAAACGTGGTCCTTCCACACAGCAGAGCATTACTCAGCCTTAAAAGGGAATGAAGGCCAGGTGCGGTGGCTGACGCCTGTAATCACGCCCAGCACGTTGGAAGGCCAAGGCAGGTGGATCACCTGAGGTCAGGAGTTCAATACCAGCCTGGCCAACATGATGAAAGCTTGTCTGTACTGAAAATACAAAAATTAGCCAGGCGTGGTGGTGGGCACCTGTATTCTCAGCTACTCAGGAGGCTGAGGCAGGAGAATTGCTTGAACCTGGGAGGCGGAGGTTACAGTGAGCTGAGGTCACGCCACTGCACTCCAGCCTGGGTGACAGAGCAAGACTCCATCTCGGAAAGGAAAAAAAAAAAAGAGAGAGAGACAGAGAGAGAGAGAATGAAGCCTGGGTGTGGTTGCTTATTCCTGCAATCCCACACTTTGGGAGGCCTAGGCAGATGGATTGCCTGAGGTCAGCAGTTCAAGACCAGCTGGCCAACATGGTGAAACCCTGTCTCTTCTAAAAATACAAAAGTCAGCCAGGCATGGTGGTGGGTGCCTGTAATCCCAGCTACTCAGGAGGCTGAGGCAGGAGAATTGCTTGAACCTGGGAGGTGGAGGTTGCAGTGAGCAGAGACCGCACCATTGCACTCCAGCCTGGGTGACAGAGTGAGACTCCATCTCAAAAATAAATAAATAAATAAATAAATAAAAGTTTTTTAAAAGGGAATGAAGTGCCATCATGTGCTGCAGTGTGAAGAAAACTCAAGGACATTATGTAAAGTGAAATAAGCCAGTCACCAAAAAACTGATACTGTATGATTCTGCTTATGTGAAGTGTCTAGAATAGCCTTATCCATAGAAGTAGAAAGCAAAATGGTGGGTACCAGGGGCAGGAGGGACAGAAGGATGGGGAGTTATGATTTAATGCATACAGAGTTTTTATTGCAGATGATGAAAAAGTTTTAGGTATCGACACTGGCAATGGTTATAAACATTATAAATGTATTTAATGCCACTTATGAAGGATTAAAATGATAAATGTTATGTTTATTTCATCACCACCAAAACTTTGTGGGTGCAGCAGTGCTGGTTTCTGGTCCTAGCCTGAGAGACTGGCAGCTTCCACCTACTGTCTCTTGGGACAGTGTCTCTGGGAGCTCTGAGCTGTCATGCAAGACGTCCAGCTACCCTGAGACCACCATCCTGAAAGGCCACAGGGAGGAGCTCTGTGGACAGTCCTAGTTGAATCTTGCCTTCCAGCTGTTCCTGCCAAGATGCCAGGCATGTGAGTAAAGCCATCATGGACCCTCTAGACCAGACTTCCCACCAGCACGGGACCATCTGGCAGCCACATGGAGCAGAAGAACCGCCCAGCTGAGCCACTTCCAAACCCTTTACCTACTAAGTCATGATCCACAATGAGCCATCATAGGGATGGTTTGCTTTGCAGTGTGGATAACAAGGATGTCATGTGAGGGACAGCTGAGGTACTGACCCAGGATGTGACTGATGCTCTCCATGTACCCAGAGCTCACTGGGAGCTGGGGACCTTCAGGTGCATCAGAAACATGCCTTACCTCTGTGAAGCTCACAACCCAGTGGGGGCACATCAAGTCACCAGGCAGTTATCACCACAAGGTCATTGGAGCATCGATGGTGGAGACACAGGGCAGCGCAGCAGCTTCGGGGTGGGGAGGGGGGCTGATACCGCTGGAAAAAAACAGGGAGGGCTTCCTGGCATGGAGGCTCTTGGCTCTGACCCCATCAAGGCTCTCAGGATCCCAGTTTCTCCATTTATGAAATGAGGACCATGGGACATCATGAGGATGAGCGGCTGTGATCCAGGAGTGTGGACATTCAGCCAATGCCCAATAGAACTGGAATATAAATACCCCAGCTCCCTCTCCCTTAGGGATGACTTCGAGGTGTGTGCTACAGCAGCTGCCCACAGCAGTGGCAGGCATGGAGACACATCCATTTTGAAACATCTTCCCTTCCCTACCTCACTCCCTGGGATGGTTAATTTTATGTGTCACTTAAGTGCACTGTAGGGTGCCTAGATTACACATTGTGTCTGTGAAGGTGTTTCTGAATTAGATTAGCATTTGAATTGTGGACTCAGGAAGGTGGCCTGCCCTCCCCAAGTGGCTAGTCATCTTCCAGTCCCTCAAGGGGCTGAACAGAACAGACGGCAGAGGGAGGAGGACTCACCCCTCATTTCCTGCCTAGCCGCTGGAGCTGGGACATCTCATCCTCTCTTGCTCTGGGACTGGATGTCCGCCGTCGGATGCCCTGGTTCTCAGGCCTCTGGACTTGAGCTGAGTTTCAATCACACCTCGGGCTTCCCTGGGTTTCCAGCTTGCAACAAGACAGTGGGACTTCTCAGCCCCACGAGTCACAGGAACCAAATTCCTCACCCTAAATCTTTGTGAATTGGTTCTGTTTCTCCGGAGAACCTCACTAATATGCTCCCTCACTGTCCCTTGCAATTCCTGAGATCACCTCCCAAAGAAAGCATGCATTCTCACTCCTTCCTTTAGGATCTGCTTCTGGGAAGCCCGATCCAAGACAGCTGAGATTGACTAGCCCTAAGGTTTCTGAAGGCCACTACCCTGATTTCACTGGGAGGGCCAGGGCTCGGGGTAGGAGGGTAGGAGCAGATGGCTCAGGAGGGGAGGGTGCAGGGGCACCTCGAACTGTAGATTCACAAAGGAGCAGCAGTGTGGCCTGGGAGAAGTCGATTAACCTCTCTGAGCCTCCATTTCCTCACACTTGAAAAGGGGCAATGGGCCAGGCACGGTGGCTCACACCTATAACCCCAGCACTTTGGGAGGCTGAGTTGGGCAGATCATGAGGTCAGGAGTTCAAGCCTGGCCAACGTGGTGAAACCCTGTCTTTACTGAAAATACAAAATATTATCCACGCGTGGTGGCACGTGCCTGTAGTCCCAGCTACTTGGGAGGTTGAGGCCAGAGAATCACTTGAACCCAGGAGGCAGAGGTTGCAGTGAGCTGAGACTGCGCCATTGCACTCCAGCCTGGGTGACGGAAGGAAGGGAGGAAGGGAGGAAGGGGGGAGGGAGGGGGGGAGGGAGGGAAAGAGGGAAGGAGGGAGGGAAGGAGGGAAGGAGGGAAGGAAGGAGGGAGGGAGGGAGGGAGGGAAGGAGGGAAGGAGGGAGGGAGGGAGGGAGGGAAGGAGGGAGGGAGGGAGGGAGGGAAGGAGGGAGGGAGGGAGGGAGGGAAGGAAGGAAGGAGGGAGGGAGGGAGGGAGGGAAGGAAGGAAGGAAGGAAGGAAGGAAGGAAGGAAGGAGGGAGGGAGGGAGGGAGGGAAGGAGGGAGGGAGGGAGGAAGAAAAAGGGCAATGGTGTCCTCCCCTTTGGGTGGCTGTGAGGTGTGGGTTTGGGTAGATGCAGGGCTTGGGCTGAGGGGTCACCACCAGGGCTCTCCTCTCGCACTGCTCCTTTTCTCACCATTGGTCCCTGTCCTGCCCCTGATGGGCTGTGTGACCCAGGAGGCATCACTTCCCCTCTCTGGGCTTCAGATTCCTCTACTGTTCTGCAAAGGGATTGACCTAGATGGCCAAGGCCCCTCAGACTCCTAGAAAACCGTGTTTTCTTGGGAGACACAGTCCCAGGGGATGCCACTACTCTGGACTTGCAAGATGGTTTCTCTCCTGGAATGGCTAGGAGAAGCCCAACAGGAAGGCAGAATGTGGGTGGCATCTTCGCCCCTGGACCCCTCCTTGCCTTGCCCTGTCTGGGCTCCTACATTGCAGATAGCGAAAGAATCCAAGCCTTCCCTGTGCCCCTCGCCTCTGCACTTCCAGCCCTCTCGGCAGCCTCCGGGGCACCTGGGCTACTCCTTGGGGGCACGTGCCATCCCTCCCTTGTCTCCCACAGTCTTGGTTGCTATGGCCTCCAGCCTGGGACCTCTGAGCCACCCCAGGACTCCTGAGTCTCCGCAGCCCATTCTGCCCATCGAAAGCCAGGGTGGACAGGGACAGGCAGGTAGCTGAGGACAGGGGCACAGGGGCAAGCCTCCCCACTCCAGACGCCACCACAAGATAGGAGGACATGGGACATGGAAAGGGACACCCACCAGGACGTCTGATCCCAAGGCAGGAAAGGAGCAGGCTGCCAAGTCACGCTCATCCCAGGTGGCGTCAACGTGCAATCCATCGTCTGCGGCTGCCGGAGAAGGATCCCGGCTCCTCACAGGAGTTCTGCCCACCTGGCCAACCCAGCTGCCCACTCTTCGACCTCCCTGTCCTTCTGCACCAGTCACCAGGCAGGGTGGGGGCTGGAGCTCACCCACCCAGCTACAAAGCCCAGCCTAGCAGGCTGCAGGAGGGCAGGGTGTCATTCCCAATGTGTGGATGGGAACACTGAGGCGGGGTGGAGGAAACACCTTTAGGTCCCCTTGAGAGAGGGGATGGGTCCCAGGAAGAAGGTAGTTCAGCCTGGGTTAGGATGGGTCACATGACAGAGGGAACCTCCTGGTGTCAGCGCCAGAGGCCAGCGAGGCTGAACTCTCAGCACAGTGCTCAGGCATCCCCCTGCATCCGGGAACAAGAGCCACTGCACCCCGCCTCCCAGGGCTCCAGTCTCCCAAGGCTGCCACGTACTCCCTCAGCCTGGAGCAAGCAGGAGGGGGCGGCTCCGGCAGGAGTGGCAGTGGCCCTCACCCTAATGAAGCCATCTCGCCACCATAATAAAGACCTCATGTATCTCCAATGACACTTAGCAAATCTGGGCACAAATAAATAACCCAAGTCCAATTGAATTAACCTTCAGCTGATCAGCACAGCTAAGCAAATTACCCTGCGGCCCGAACGAGATTAAAAGACCCAGCGCAGACTGGGATCATTCGGCGGGAGGGTTCACTGGGTTTAACGAGTTTAAGCCAAATGCCCCGGCGTTCTTTTCTCTGGTTTTAGGCCACTCTGCTCCCAGAGTGTAGCCTTTCTGGGGGCACAGCTCCCCCCCAGGGAATGGCAGGGAGAAGTCAGACGTGTGGCAGAGAGGGTGAGGCCAAGGGAGTGGTGGTGGAGGAGGGAGACCCCCGCCTGTGCAGGGGAGAACGGCAGGCCACGGCAGACGGTGTCCCCAGGGGCACAGCCAAAGCTGGTTTCCAAGAGACAGCAGGTGCCGGGCTGGAGGTCTGGTCCTCCTAGCTTACCCCTTGACACCCGATGTCACCCCCTTCACGCTCAGCTGCATTTAGACCTGGGCTGACCCCCAGGAGAAACCTGCTTTATAAGGTCCGATCCCAGTCATGCTTCTCCCACCCTGACCCCAGGCTCTCCCCCAGCCCATGCAGAGGGTAGGGGCTGGAAGCTGCCTGTGGTTGGACAGAGACGTCCCCTGAGTGGGAGACCACAGTGATGCAAGGCCATAATGACAGATCAAATCACCACCCCGCCAGCTGCCGGAGATACATGGGTCAACATGACTTTTAGAAGAACAAAGACTGCCGGGCGCGGTAGCTCACGCCTGTAATCCCAACACTTTGGGAGGCTGAGGTGGGTGGATCACGAGGTCAGGAGTTCAGGACCAGCCTGACCAACATGGTGAAACCCCGTCTCTACTAAAAATACAAAAATTAGCCAGGCGTGGTGGTACGCACCTGTAATCCCAGCAACTCAGGAGGCTGAGGCAGGAGAATCGCTTCAACCCGGGAGGCGGAGGTTGCAGTGAGCCAAGATTGCACCACTGCACTCCAGCCTGGGTGACAGAGCGGGACGCGTATCAAAAAAAAAAAAAAAAAAAAAAAGGAACAGAAGAACAGAGACCACTCAGGAGGGTTTCTCTGCCCTCTAGGGCTGCCAGCCTTTCCTGGCAAAAGGGCCTGCGCTCAGCTGGGATGTCGCAGCCAGGGATGGTGGGCCCCGGAGGGAAGCAGAGACCTCACCGTGCCTGAGGAACCATTGCCCAGAGCATGCAATCTTCTTCTTGCTCCGGTGTGGAGCACTCAGGCAGCCTGAAGAGGCCACACGCCTGAGGGCTGCTCCCAACCGAGTGACCCAGCTAGAAACACGAGAGCTGTTTACCCAGGCTGCAGTGGATCCACTGAGATGTGGCCCTAGAACTTACACAGAGAGAGAGGACTCAGAAGACAGTGCTCCCCGAAAGTTCTAGAGCCAAGCGAGGTGTGGCTTCCCAAGGCAGGGGTACAGCAGGCCATGGACTTCTCCCCTAAGGGATTTGCTTGTAGCGCAGGAGACTCAAAGGGAACCTTAACCTCACGGAGTTCAAAAAACCCTGTTGC